ACCAGAGAGGTGTCACAATTCCTACATGACAAATCAATTTTTTTCACTGATTCTTTTTTTATGATTTTATTTATTTTTAGAGAGGGGAAGGGGAGGAGAAAGAGGGAGAGAAACATCAGTGTGTGGTTGCCCTCTTGTGTGCCCCCAACTGGGAACCTGGCCTGAAACCTAGGCGTGTGCCCTGACTGGGAATCCAGTTGGCGACCCTTTGGTTCACAGGCTGGTGCTCAATCTACCAAGCCACAACAGCCAAGGCTGATTCTTAAGATAATGTACTTCTTGTGGAGTTCTGATTCATTTTGATGACCCTCTCAAATACCCTTTCAAAAACCAAAAAACTAGGAAAGCAGCTGGATCACCTTTCCTTCCTCTCTTAGGCCCTTCATTTAAGAAAGGATACGTTGAGTATGTTAAAAACTAAAGTAAGCCATAATGAGGAGTAAGGTTCCCTCTGTTAACCCAATTATGAAAAACAAGTAGTGTCATTGAAGGCACAGCCTCACACAAGGCTGTGCTAAGTAGTTCTCACAACAGACATGCTAGACATTTTCAGTCTGGAGAGGTCCAGTCTGTCCCCAGCTATAGCCCCACCCATCATGATTTTTCCTTAGCCCTCCTATTTCCAAGCCACAATACACATAAAGAATGCTAAAAACCCATCAAATATCCCTGGCTGGTGTGGCTCAGTGGTTTGAGTGCCAGCCTGTGAACCAAAGCATTGCTGGTTTGATTCCCAGTTAGGGCACATGCCTGGGTTGTGGGGCCAGGTCCTCAGGTGGGAGAGCATAAGAGGCAACCACACATGGATGTTTCTCTCCCCCTCTTTCTAAAAATAAACAAAATCTTTTTTAAAAACCATCAAGTCAGATGAAACATGTAATGTAATGTTATTTAAGTACACTACGATCATTTTTTTAACTTTTAAAGATATTTATTTATTTTATTTTTAGAGAGAGAGGAAGAAAGAGAGGGAGAGAAACATCAATGTGTGGCTGCCTCTTGCACCCTACTGGGGACCTGGCCGGCAACCCAGGCATGTGCCCTGACTGGGAATCGAACCGGTGACCCTTTGGTTCACAGGCTGGTGCTCAATCCCCTGAGCCACACCAGCTAAGACCAATCAGTTTTTAAATGAGAACCATGTTTTGTTTCTTGTAAATATAATAATACGTAGAAAAGTGTATTTACTAGGCTGGTTGATATCTTGGAGTTTGGCTTCCTGCACTTCATGATCCTTTTTTCTTGACAAATGACTTACCGTACTTAACTAATTCTAAGATGTTATTTTCTTCGCATTTTCACATCTCTGAAATCAGAATGCACCTTTTAACCAAAGGAATTTTACAATCACTATCAGCCAGGAGACATTTGAAAGGGAGCTTTCATTACCAGTATATACTCAAACTTTGTGGTGGCTTATCATGATATATGATAAAAATATGCATCTAAATAAGCCAGAAAAGTTCTTTCAGTAAATATAAAATTAAAATTCCATGGATATGAAAGCATTACATGAGAATTTATTTGGAAGTGGTTTTCTTTTTCTTTCTTGGTATCATATAAAAATGTAATTACATAAAAAAGCATCTCAAATGTAATGAATCATTTCATATCTTCAATAGAGTGCAATATCTGCCAATAGGTACTAATAAAAGACTACATTTTAGCCCTGGATGGTGTAGCTCGGTGGATTGAGCGCGGGCTGCAAACCAAAGCATCGCAGGTTCGATTCCTAGTCAGGGTACATGCCTGGGTTGCAGGCCACGGCCTCCAGCAACTGCACATTGATGTTTCTCGCTCTCTCTCTCTCTTTCTCCCTCCTTTTCCTCTCTAAAAAATAAATAAATAAAATCTTTTTAAAAAGACTACTTTTTAAATGTCTTTAATGGTATGCTGTTTTGGGTTTGTTTCTTTGTTTTTTATTTTTTTCTGCTTACAACTAGAGATTCCCCAACCTGGAAATCCAAACACTAGTAAAAGGTACTAGACTAGCTACACTGGAACACAGAAAAATGGACAAATCATTTCTTTCCTGTGGTCATATTTTCAGAGGAAGTCAGAGAATTCCATTATAAGCTCTAGAGAAGCACTATCACATAATATATATATTGTAAGCCACATATGTAATTTTAATTTTTATGTTGTAACATTTTAAAAAGTTTAAAAACCAGGTGAAATCAATTTTAATAATGTTCTTTAACTGAACATATCCAAAGTATTATCATTTCAACATGTAATTAATATAAAATATTAATAAATGATTTTATTTCTGTTTGTCCTATCTCAGAAACCTGGCATATATTGCTATTTCATACTTTCACTATAACTCCGTTCACACAAGCCACATTTCAAATGCTCAATAGCCAGCCTGTGGTTAGTGGCTCCCATATTGGACAGTGTAGGTCTAGTTGATACATACACTTAGCAGCAAAATAAAATAATTCCTTCCAGGATATTTTGCTCAAACACGATCAGTCACAGAAGTGTTTGGCAGGAATTCAAGAGCAACAGCTACTTCCACTGCAGTCTTATGAATGTGAACTACCATAAACTGATTAATCCAACAGTGACTATACATTGCTCTGGAGCAATGCTGCTTAAGACAGTCTAGAACACTGGTTTTCAAACTAGGCTACTGGTACGTGAACTCTTTGCAACAAGTGTGCAACAGGGAGAGTTTGCAGGGAATCCACTCTGTGGTTCTTGATTTGCATATGTATTTCTGCCTGTAATTGATCTGCCTAATAAACAAAAATTTTCCCACATGCTTAAAATTAAGCATTATCCCTGGCTGCTGTGGCTCGGTACACTGAGCACCGGCCTATAAACTGAAAGGCTGTTGGTTCCACACACACCTGGGTTGCGGGCTGGGTCTCCCTATTTGGAAGTGCGCGAGAGGCAACCAACTGATGTACCTCTCGCACATCAATGTTTCTCTCTCTCTGTTTCTCCCTCCTTTCCCCTCTCTCTAAAATAAATAAATACAATTTAAAAAATAAATTAGCCCTGGCTGGCATAGCTCAGTGGATTGAGCTCGGGCTGGGAACCAAAGTGTCCCAGGTTCGATTCCCAGCCAGGGTACATGCCTGGGTTGCAGGCCATAACCCCCAGCAACCGCACATTGAAGTTTCTCTCCCTCTCCCTCCCTCCCTCCCTCCCTCTCCCTCTCCCTCTCTCTCTCTCTCTCTCTCTCTCTCTCTCTCCCCCCTCCCTCCCTTCCCTCTCTAAAAATAAATAAATAAAATCTTTAAAAAATAAAAAATAAATAAATTAATTAAAATGAACCATTATTTTCCAGCTATTCTCAATACTCATAACTTAAATCTGTCATTACCTGAAAAGCACCTCCTAACTAATAGCAGCATACACTGTTGATTCTGATTCTATTAAATATAACTGGAATGTTTCCCTGTACTAATAGAGTATTTACACAGGTAAAACTTATGCCTAGAAATTATATGTGATTTCTTTCAGGTAAGGTACATCATTCATTAAACTAGTTAAAACCTATTTTCTCAGATTGTATCTCGAGATATCTTTTCTAATTAAAGTCAATCTTACTTCATTTTATAAATAATCACATTATTTTCTTTTTCTAAGATTTTATTTATTTATTTTTTAGACAGAAGGGGAAAGAAGGAGAAAGAAGGAGAAAGAAAGTGGGGGGAAACATTGATGTGTAAGAGATACATCGATCTATTGCGTCTCTCTCATACATGCCCCAACCAGGGACCTGGCCCACAACCCATGCATGTGCCCTGACCAGTAATCAAACTGGCAGCGTTTCAGTTTGCCCAACCCACTGACCCACACCAGTCAGGACAATAATCCCATATTGTCTACCACCTATGACCAAAAATAAAATATAGTTTGCCAGACCAACTATTTTTAGCTATATGTATTTTTCTCTTTCATAAATATGCTTGAAAAATTTGATTCTGTGGTCTAATAACATTAATGGATTTTTTCAATTGTTATACAAGGTGGGAAAAAGTAGGTTTACAGTTGTAATAAAAATAACACAATAATTAATAAATAATAATGCAAGAATAAACTGTTTCATGTATTCACAACTGTAAACCTACTTTTGCTTTCCCCTGTATATGATTCTTAATTATTTCCAGAAATGCAACAATAGAGTTCTAAAAACATATGAGGATTTGTTTACCAAAGGAAATTATGACTGCCAACAGATTCTTTGTTTCATACGTGAATTATAATGTTAGCTATATATTCCATTGTTTGGTTTGAAATTACATGAGAAACAGAAGTATTTGATTTCTTAACCTACTTTGAAGTGGATATAAATTTCATTATTATTCCAATTTTCTACATAGTTTGTTGGTAAACTATTTAGCACTCATTGTCCCATAATTGATTCCTCCATGGTTTTAATAATGTTCTTCAGAATGTGTATATTAATTCATTTTTTTACATTGAAAAGTGAAGTCAGACATTTTTTTGGAAGATATAGCTGATTTGGCTGATTATCTTGATATGAACATTGCTTTGCCAATCAAGTTATATTATAAATATTTTCTATGAAAACAATGATCCAAAGCTGTGGTCTAATTCATTGGATCATGCAAAATGTGATTAAATCATGTTATTTAAAAGCACAAGTATTTATAATATGCCTGAAGTAATAACTCTGCAAATAATTAAGTTTATGATAATAAATTTCAGATACTAACTTGAAGATGTGTGATGGGATAGATAGTTTCTCAAAATTATTTTAGGTGGCCTATATTTAAAAAGTATGAAGACCACTGCTGTAGAACAGTCTCTGAAGTCCAGAGGAAAACTGAGGTGGGGGTTTGGGGAGTAAGCCATGAAATTTAGAAAGGTTTTTTTATGTTATACCTATTTCTAATTTCTGAATATAGTAGAAACCACTTTAACTTGATGTATACTAGCTTATTTGGCAAGGAGGTTGTGCAACATGGCAATAGGTAAAATCTTAGGAATGTTTCTGAGCAATCCACAAATACTGCACTTACTCAATATGGTCACTAGGTGGCAAACGTGCACGTGGCGGGAAGCCCTCTTCCTCCTCTATCACTGGCTCACTCAATCTTCCATCTCCTCCTGCAAAAAGGAAAAAGATACAACAACATGACATCACGGCAGACAACAACATCAGGAAGCCTTTGTTTTAAGTCTTTACTTTTACCAGGGAAAGGGATCATAATAAGCCCTTATGATCTCTGAGAATTTCAGCAACGACCTTGTCTATGAAAATCTATTCTTCATGAATACCATTTACAAATAATGCTAATGAACACATCTCTACAATATACACGTGCACTTTCACCACAAAATCCAAACACTACCTAGCTAGGAACTTCAGCTCTTACAAAACCAAAAAGCAGCAGCAGCAGCATCTATGACATTCCATACATGAGGCTAAGCCCTTCATTTCACTGAATCTTCAAACTGCTCTAAGAGGTAAGTGCTAATATTACTTTTCATTTTACAGGTGAAAAAAAAAGCAGAAAAATGGCTCCAAGTCATTGAGCTAGTAAGTGCTGCAGCTTAGATGTAAATAAGGGGTTTGGATTGGTTTTCAAGTTTGATAGCCATGCGCTCCAGTTTCACAGTGCGCGATGTTTCAGTGGTGTGTGTGTCTACGTACCTTTCTATACTTGGCTATGTATGTTTCTATTTCTTTGCTTTCCTGTGATTCTATGCCTGTGATTCTGCGCATGTGGAATTATGTGTGTGTGATCAAACAACATGTGCACTCCAGATCTTTTTGAGATCATTCTGGTAATTTCTACATCTGCTTCAATACAATCATCAGAGGGAGCTCGATGATTTTCATTTCATTTTCTTAAAGAGGCTAAGTCACATTAAAAGTCACAGCTTCCTTCGAAAAAGTATTTAAATATTTGCGTGTCGTTTTATATGTGGTTGAATCTTTGTGTTTTCATATGTATATATCTGCATGAGTCTCTATGGCTGTTTCTGTTTAAGTATGATTGAGTCCATGTATGCCTGTGTTGGCACATGTATATAAGTGTGTGCATTCACACATTTGATGTACATTTAGGACTGTATGCCGAATGGGCATAGGAGTACAATTGTAGACCATTGTGTGTGTGTGTGTGTGTGTGTGTGTGTGTACCAATTGTGCATATATTGGCATGTCAGGGTGCACATCTGTGCATTTGAGTCTCTGCATATGTCTACATTTTTAATGTGTTTAGATCTGCATTTTCTGTAGATATATATGTGTGTGTGTGTGTCTCTTTTATATGCTGAGGATGTTGTATATTTGGGACATACATCTTACATCTGAGTGTACATCTGCATATGTGTTTACAGGGTGGGGCAGAAGTAAGTTTACATTTGTGAATACAAAAAATGCAGAGTTTATTATTGTATTATTATTTATTAATTATTGTATTCTTTTCCATGTGAACAACTGTAAACCTACTTTTGCCCCACCCTATATGTGTCTGTACGTGCAAATGCATTTATAGAGTTCTGTGTGCATATACCTTTAAGAGGGGTTTGGCGTGTGTCACCCTGTAACTGGGTGAGATCTTGTCTTTTAGGGGTGTAGTGTCCACATCTATGTGTACATGTGTAAGTCTGTAGGACTGAACCTCTATTCCCATGTATTTAACTACATGTGTATAAGATGCGTTCGCCTGTGTATATCTTTCTGTAGGTCTTTATGCCTGTGCTTATGTGTATATAGGCTTCTTCATTTGAAAGTCTCTGCTAAATCTATCCATCTATCTCTGTCATATCTCTCTATATATGAAAGCATCTCTCTCTAAATGTATATACCACTGTCTGTATGGTATGTACAGGTAGATATCTCTTTATGGATCATGTTTTATCCATATGTGCATGTATGTGTCTCCATGTACAAGTACATTTATGTGTGCACAACTTTGTGCTGTGTATTTGCCTATGTACACTCACATGCATGAATATTCTCATGTGTGCCCCATGTGCATTTCCATACCTATGCATCTGTACATATTTAGATGTGGTCATGGCAAGTATGAACACTTAGGTTACATGTGCAGGCGTGAGCATACTTATGCACATGTGTTTTAATAACAACTATGCTTCTGTGTATATATGCATGTGACTCTGTGTGCATGAAAGTGCCACTAAGTACACTTTTAAAACACATTTATCTACCTATGAATGAAATCTCTGTTTTGCTGTTTGTTTAAATGTCATTATCTCTGCAAAGCAGTAAAAACACATACACCAGTTTCTGTATATGAATGACTCTGTGTATGTATATGGGTATGAGTGCACACAAACATACATGTATCTGTGCAGGTGTGTGTATATTTATCTACATTTCTGCATAAATGTGTGGTGGTGTCTCGAAATGTGCATCATGAGCCTCCAGAAGCATCTGAGTGCTTTTTTTGTGTGTATTTGTTTTTTTTGCATCTTTGAGGTTATAAATCAGTAAACAGATAGGATGGTATATATATATATGTCTCTGTGTTCTCTGAGTCAGTGTAAGTGGAGTGTATATTTATGTGTACATATTGCTCTGTGTCTACACACATAACTGTGGGCATTTGTATGTATATGTGTATCTGTGTATCCATGAGATGATGCCTATTGGGACTCCTGGTTTTGTTTGTATTTGTGCAAACAAATGTCTGGCTGGGGCTTTAACAATGTATGCTCTGTAGGATTACGACAAACCTGTAGGTCTCTGTCAGTATAAACATCTGTGACACTGCATGTATGTGTCTGTATTCTGTTGGATATGCACTAATCTATAACAAATATATGTGTGTGTAACTGTGAACACTTTCTTCTGGAAAGATTTTCCTGGTCATCTCCACCCCTGCTTTTCTACAATACAGCCAGCAGAGGGCGCTCAAGATTGTCTTCCTCTCTGGAAGTTGCCAAGGAAATAAACATTAAAAGATAGCCTTCTTTGAAAAATGTTGATTATTGAAGATGGTAACTATGGTCTAATAATATAGGCTTTTTATAATTTAAAGACAAAGAGCAGGTGGCTGCTCTGATCTTCCAATCCCACAGCCATTGTTGGAGACCCTGGCACGTACCTTCCTTCCCATCTGTGGCCCTAGGCAGGGTCCATATGCTGCCTCCTCCATCCTTCTGGCTCCCCAGGCTTGCCTGTTACAAAGGGCTCCAAAGTTACTTCTTCCTTCTTCCCTAGAAGACAGGAACCAGTGTCATCCCAGTATCTACATGAGGACTAGGATCAGAGAATTAGAGTGCATTGTGTGGGTCACAGGGCCAATCGGTGGCAGAGGCAGAATTAAACACCAGACCTGACTGACACCATGCCCATATTCCTTCTGTTCAACCACTGACCACGTCCACTATCGCATGTGCCCCCGTCCCAGCACCAGTGAGTGGTGGGGCCAAGCCTGGGACAGAAATTCTCATTTAATTCTTGGAATAGCCTAAAAGGAAGTATTTCACCATGTTTACAAATGGATATACAGGCTCAGAAAAGTGAAGTCACTTCCCAAGGCTCTGTGTGACCATGCAGGTCCTCGGTTGGTATCCTGTGGAGCAACATATCGTTGAACATTAAATGTGATAGAGTGCGGACCTCGAAACATGAACCTGTATGTTCTAGAGTGAGCATTACATCATATGCTGCTTTTCTTTGTGAGGTATGCTTTCTGACTACAGTCTAGCAAGTCTTGGTATTACTAAGGGTATCCATAAACTTTTGGGCAAGTTTGCATGTTGTGGGGTGAATATGTATGTTGTGGATTATATCTCTCTGTGTATGTAGTAGCATGAGGCTGGGAGAACCACAGGGGTGTGTCCCTGCCATCAGAGCCAGTTTATGGATTAAGTACCATGTCTCTGTGTAGTGGTGTAAGGTTAAGTATTGTAGGATGACTCAGGTGGGTGAGGTACATCTGACTGTGGTACAGAAAACCTTTTTGTTACAAGGGAAGAGTCTTTGTATTGTGGGTTGATTCTATGTGTTTTGGGGTGATGAGTCTCCTGTTGCGGGGTGAGTCTACCTGAAGGAAGGTGAGTCTAGGTGTTGTGGGGTAAATATATGGGTTGTATGGTGTGTTAGTAAATTGTATGTCTTGCGAATGGGTTTTGTGAGCTGTCGAACTGTGACTAGTATGACTCATGCATGCACTGTGAGGTTGTTCTCTACAGTAGGGAGGCACAGCTAGGAGGTGTGAGGTAAAGCCATGCGTTGTGGGTTGCCTATGAATAATGGGCCTTGTGGGTACTGATCATCTGGTTTGGAGTAACTGTGCTTTGTGGGAATGATTCTCAGTGTTGTGAATTTTATAGCTGTGATTTTTTATTTTTTGGATATACTGTCCTGGAAATCTCTGGATCATGGAACATGTCCTCACATTGTAGGGCATGTGTAGGTGTTGTGGTCTATACCTTGCAGTCTGTAAACTGTGGGATAGATCTTGGAGTAATGGGATGAGACTGTGTGCCATGGATTGATTCTAGAAATTCTATAATAAATTATTGCCTCTGAGGGGCAGTGTTTGCATCTTAGGGTATGTCTGTGCCTTATGGGAAGTTTATATGAGTTTTTTTAAAAGGCGGGGGATTTCTTGGGTGTGGGGTCGTATCTCTATATAGTATGGCATTTGTAGAGGTTGTGGTCCAGTGTTGTGCATTACAGGGCAAGGCTGTATTATATGGGTTAACTCTGGATATGGTATTGCATGTGTCCTGGTGTTGTCAAGAGCATGCAGGTTATTAGAGACAAGCTTGGGTGTCGGGGAGCCGGTGTCTGTGCTTTGGACTGCTCTGTGCGCTGTAAGACATACCTGCCTTATGGTGTGATTTTGGCTTGTGGGGTATGCACGTATGTAACCAGTTTGGGATCTTTATATTGGGCGATGATTTATTTTGTTGCAGGAGTTTGTGTGGTAGGGCATGGCTGTGTACCATAGGGTATTTCTCTCAATACTGTGGGGCATGTCTGTATATCAGGAGTTTTGTCTGTAGTAGTGTGGATCATGCATTCATTTTGTGGAGTGATGTGAAGCTGTAATGATACTTTGTGTACATAGGGGAATCTCAGTGATGAGGGGCATGTCGGTGTGTTGTGAGGGCAACTTCATATGGGTTGAGTTTGTATGTTGTGATTTGGTTCAAGGTGTCTTGGAGTGAATTTGCATTTTGAAGAAAGTCTGACTATCGTGTGCTCATTCTGGAACTGTGAGACCGTCTCTGTATTTTCAAGAGATTTTGTACATTGTAGGATGCACCTTTTCATTAGAGGTTTTGCCCAGGTGTTGTGGGGGTGAATACATGCACCATAGACTGTGTCTAGGTTGAGGGTAAAGGTTATCTCGTAAGGCAAAGCTGTGTTGCAAAACACATCTGGGGAGGACAGTAAGCATGCAACATGGACATGCCTTCACCCTGCGGGGTGAGTCTGTGCACCCTAGGGCAATTTGGGGGGCTGGAAACACATGTTTTCTCTGTAAAGTATTTGTCTTGTGAAGAAATTGTATGTGTTTTGCGGTAAATCTGTGCATCAGAATGCAATTTTGTGTCCATGGTAGAAACTTTTGTGTCATAGAGTGCATCTGTCTATAGTAAGTTAGCTGTATAAGGGTATTATGGAGCTAGTGTGTGCATGGTAATACATCTTCATGTTGTATGACAAGAGTATGAACCTGGGGGTGTGGCTGGATATCTGTGGTCTATTCTTACTCTAGTGGGGTGAACTTATGTTTTAGAGTAAGGCTATACATTATAGGGAGATTTTTGCATTTTTGTGGAACTTACCTCTATGTTATAGGGTATATCTCAGTGTTATGGGGTAAATATGGGCTTTTGGGGGACAAGCTTGTTCATTTCAAGTTCATTGCAGGTATAATGAGGTGCTTCTGCAGTATTATGGTGTAAGACAGTTTTGAGGCAAACCTATGTGTTATAGTAATATTGGGTAACTTAGGGAGCAAGTCTTGGCAGTTTTGGAGAATTTTGAACTGTGAGGCAAACTTATGCATTGTGATGTGATTCCGTGTGCTGTGGTGGGAGTCATGTCACGGAGCATGATTGACATCTTAAGCTGGTCTAGATATTGAGAAGTGACTGTGGGAGCTATGGCAGAGGCTGGGCACTGTAAGGCTCAGAGGCATGTCGTGTGGATGGTTTCTTTGTGTGGTACTGCATGTTCGTGTGTTTAGGAGCATAGGTGGTGGTTGTGGAGTATTCTGAATTATTTGCTTTGTGAATGAGTCTATGCATTGTGTGATAACCCTGTGTACAGGGGTGCAAGTCTATGAATTGTAGTATGATTTTGAAAGTTGTGTAAAATTCTATACATTGCAGGTAAGCCTATTTTCTGTGGCATGTTTTAGAGCTATTGGATGAGACTATGGTGGTGGGGGAGGGGTGGGTCTATGCATTTGAGTATGTAATCAGATGTTAGAAGGGGTCCGTTCATTATGGAGTGTATGTTTTTAGAAATGTTCATAAGTTATTATGCAATAGTGTGTGTTTCTAGGAAGTCTCTGTCTTATGAGGCAACTTTGTGTATTGTGGGATGAATACAGGAGTTGTGGGAGAAGCTGTCCATTTTGGAATGAATGTGTTTTTATGCACTTTGGGGTACTGTGAGGTTAATCTGGATGTTGCAATAAGAATTCTGTGGTATTGCAGGATTCTGTGCACTGTTTTCAGAGTGTTCAAGTTGTGATTGTTTTCTGTATATTGTAATATGTGCCTGGGCATTGTGGGACAAATATGAGTTGTGAATTTATTCTAAGTGAGGGTAAATCTATGTGTTATCTATGTTTGGTGCGGGGTGGGCTTGTGTATTTTTGGCTGAGTGTGAAGGTCTGGTAGAAGTTTGGGAATGGTGTGGTGTGTGGTGAAGTGAGTCATCATTCTCTGAGACAGGTCTGTGAGTTGTTGGTCGTAGTGTGCACTCTGATGCAATTCTGTACATCCCGGTACAACTAAAACACTTGTAAGCTGAGTGTGAATGGTGGTGTTTCTTTATATCCTCTGTAGGGCAACCATAGGTTTGGTGATGGTGTTTCTATGGGACATGTTTATATATTTTAATATGATTTGACAGATGTTTTTAGAGCCTGTGTGTTGCACTGTGTTTGAGACTCTGTGGGCCAAATCTGTGTGCACAGGTCTGAGATGTGTGGAGGCAGTGTTCTGTGGGGCAAAGTGTGTATTAGGCTAATTGATGTCTTGAACAGTGAGCTGAAGGGCCCGCAACATAAATCTGTGCATTATGCAAGGGGGTCTATACACCTGAAAGCAAGTCTCTACACTGTAGGTAGTTTCTACATGCTGTAGTGCTTGTGTGTGCCCTGCTTGGGCTGATCTTTGCACCATCAGGTAAGAAGATTAATGGTACAATTGTTCTATATATTGTAGGACAGATTGTGTATTGTGATACAATTCCATGCCTTCTTGGGTGAGGTGGTTAAGTATTGTCATTGACCTTAAGTGGTTTGGGGTCAGTCTTTGTGCTGAGATATGTGTGTGTGACACATATATGTGTCATGAGTTGACCCTATATAACATGTGGGGAGTCTATACGCTCTGAGGTGGTTTTGTGTGCTTTGGTGTGGGTCTGAGTGGTGGCCAGAGTCTTGGCACTATACCTGGGAATGGTGAAGGGTGTCTAGATGACTGTGTTATGGGGGGGGCGGGTATGCTGGAGCATACACGTAAGTTGAAGTATGTTTCTGCACTGCAGGGAGAGTCTTGTGACATGAGATGTGCCTTTGCATTGTCACTTGATACTGTGCATTGTGGGGCATATCAGTGCTCTGGGATATGATTCTGTGCTTTTTGGGAAGAGTCCAACTTGTGTGTCTGTGACTGTCCATTGGCTTGTTTGCGATTCTGAATGCTGTTCGATGAGCTCATAGTTGGTGGACTGAGCCTGTGCAGTGGGCTGTGCATGAACATTGTAAAAGTTGGCTTTGAGCTGCAACACAGCTCTAGGTGCTTTGTTGCTCCTATTCTCCCTACAGGCCAGGTGTTTGCATTGCAAGGTGAGGGTGTGATTGAGGCACCTCTCTGTTTAGGGCATGTCTGTGCACTGTGGTGTAGCTATGCGCTTCTGAGGCAAGGTTGTGTGCTGTGCATTTTTGTCTGTGCATTAGTAGTATGAAGTTTGGGGGTATCATGGAATGACTGTGGGCATTATTAAATGATTCTGGATG